TATATATATATATATATCTTTGGATAATAGCTTTTTTTAAATCATTCAATGCACATTACATGAAGTTTATTTTAAATGTGGATGTGCTCTTCTAAATTGCGTTGGTTCTTATGTGATGGGGTAATCCATTGCATTAGATGATGTCCCAATCCAAGTTTTTTTTATGTGGATGAAGATTTTCTTAAATGTTATAAAAGGAGATGGTGTACATTAAAGCACATGCAAATCTTTGAAAAAATCAGCATTAGACACATTGCAAATGTTCCTAATCATAATGATGAATGTGATGAAACTCTCAAAATCTAAATCAAATAGCAACAATAAACTAGTTTAACTGCAAGTAACTAAACTATCATCATCCATGGTCACAGGAGGAATACATGATTTAAACTCAATGTATGACTTTCAAGTCATACCATGATCCAGATTGATAAAGGATTGGTCTATGGAGCTTGTAGGTTGGTTCACAAATAATCAATATATAGGAAGTCTATAAAGCATAAAATGAAATATTTTGTAAATTTGTATATATAAATTTAAACTTCCTGTTTGTGCGTTCATCAATAAAAGACACTAATTGGAGATTTACACACCTCTAACTTTAATGGGGTCTTGTATGATACTATTTAACTTAAAATTTGATTGAATTCATTGCCTCAGGCTACTAAACTAGCACAAAAAAGCTTTTGCCAAAAATTTTCCCCCAATTAAAATTGTCAAACTTATGAATGATATTACAACATTTACCCAATTAGATAATGAGTCAATTTATAAAGGTTGGGAGAGATTTAAGGAATTATCAAGGAAATGTTCTCATGATGCCCTTCTAGATTAGTTAAAAATTCAAATATTTTATAATAGGCTGGTATGATCTTTAAGGTATATCGTGGATGCTTCACTAGTGGCATTGATATTTAGTAAAGCTATTTGAGGAAGCTTATATATTGATAAGAGATGACTATTAATGAATTTCAATAATATTTTGAAAAATTAGACCTTCATAAAGTAGCTAGGGTGCATAAGATGGATATGTTATATATCTCAACATCACAAGTAGTGGTCATTTCTAAAATGTTGGATATCTTATATTTCAATTAAGGTTGTGGAGCACTTGTGAGCTTTGATAAGTCTAGCAATTGTCAATGAGGCGATCTTTACCTTTAGAAAGTAAAATCATAAAATTTGTTGAATAGTAGACAACAAATGCTTATTTAAACACATACAACCAAGTTCATATTTAGGAGCTCTGCTAGGGTTTGTGATATGAAGGCAAGCATAACAGCGGGGTGCTCAGCGTGGTTTGCTTGGTGTTTTCCGGCGATGACGATGTCGAAGAGGACCTTTGTGAAGATCCTAGTTGGTAGTAGGGGTATCGAGACTAGTAAAGGTTTGGTTTTCTCGCAATCCTTTCATGATTCCCTTGTAGGGTTGGATGAGACTTCTTTTGTGAGAAAAGCATGTCGTAAGAACAGTAAGCCGGCTTTGTTCCTTTCTGATCATGATGCTTCCTGTTTTTCGACCTCTTGTAAATATGCTTTGGTTGGCAAGTTTCTCTGCGACCACCCGAGATTGGAGGTGATTAGAAAAGCTTTCGATGGTTTGATGTTGCAGGGAGATTGGAAAATCAGACGCTTGGATGGGAGACATATACTTATAACTTAACTGTGAGGAGGATTATGCAAGGATTTTTGAAAAAAAAAGCCTAGAAGTTTGATACCAAGATTATGAAGTTATTGGAATGGTCGGTAGATTTTGACCCTAGTACGGAGCCCCAGATTGTGCTTATATGGTTCAGGTTTCCGAGCATAAAATTCATCTTTCTAACCATGAAATTATCTTTTTGTTGGGTGCTATCTTTGGTCACCCTATGAGGATGGACATCCCGACCTGCAATCTCTCTAGATCTTTGGCCACTGTGATATTGGTAGAATGGGATATTACACATACTGTAGCTGAGAAGATTTGGATAGGCACGACGCATAATGGATATTGACAAAAAGTCATTATGGAGTAACAACCTATTTAATGTTCTCACTGTCGTATGTTCAGTCATTGGGATGAGAATTTCTATGTTATGCATCCCGAATTCTGGAAACCTGTTGTTAGGAGGCATGATGGTGCAGATAATCATGCAGAAATGGCAGGGAGAAGACATTGTTTAAGGCTAACATTGATGAGGAGTTTGATGTGGAAGGCGGGGAAAACATTAATAGTGAGATGAGATCGGTCAAGGAGGGGGAAGAAGTGGAAAAGGATGGGAATACAACTGGAGGGGATGTGTCTGAAATCAATGTAATCCCGGAGGCTTTTACTTATCCCATTGTGGATGAGAGGGTGGCTATTGCAATACCAGATGAGGAAAGGTTGAAGGCAGTGATACAAGAAATGGAGGATACATGGCAGGTACAAAAAAAAACAAAAAGTTAAAAAGAGGCAAACGAAAGTTGAAATGTATAGAGGCTAGCAACATATTGAATCATCATTTGCAATGTTATTCTGACGGGATAAAAGGGCATACCCCCTATAGATTGTCTAGGAGGGGTAAATCCATTTCTTATGTTTAATTTCTTGTTGTGCAACATTAGAGAGATTGCGAATCCGAATTCCCTTAAGAGGCTGAAATGGTTAATTAGGATCCGTAAGGTTAGCTGTTTTTGCAGTGCTAGAACCCTTGGTTAGCATCGATAAGAAGAAAATTTTGGGGATGCTGAGAAAGTATAACTTTTTTGCTTATGTTTAAAATAAGATTTGGTTATTTCATAATAGGGAGGTAGCCATTTAAGGGGTGAAGAACAAGGTCCAGTTTCTACATGTTGCTTTTTATAAAGACGAATTTCATGGGTATGCTACTTTTGTTTATACGTGTACGGTACATTCTGTGAGGCTTAAGCTTTGGAAAAATCTGAAAACCAGTCAATAGGGACTTGCAAGGAAATTAGATTGAGGGTGGAGACTTTAACATGGTCACACACAGTTCTGAGAAAAAAGTTTGTAGACCAGTGGATGCTAGATTGATGAAGAGTCTTAATAATAGTATTGTGGATGCAAGCTTATTTTATCTGGGCTTCACCGGGCTCTGTTTCACGTGGAAGAGAGGAAGCGTTTTTGAAAGGCTAGATAGATTTTTGGCAATTCATGAGCGACTTAATAATGTCTTCTTAACCAAGGTGCATCATCTTAATCGATAATGTTCGGATCATAGACCTCTCCTTTTGTCTATCATTGCGATGGAGAAAACTGCAAGAAATCAAATCAGGTACTTAAATACATGGTCTAATCACTATGCATTTCTGAAGGTTGTTGAGGACAATTAGAATCTTCCTTTTAGTGAGAATGAATGGTATACTTTGTGGAAATTGCATAAAAAGGCGGCTTTAGCAATAAAGGATTGGAACTGGAATGTGTTTGGCAATGTGCATAAATGTGTGGTTGAGGCGGAAACTAAATTTAGTAGATTGGAACTAGTTCATGAAATCAATGAACAAGGTTATGAGGAGCTTACGGGAACATATCAGAAATTGATGGAGGCTATTAAATGCGAAGTGGATTTGTTAATGCA